TCACATAATGAAACAGAAAAAGTATTCGTACATTTTGATTATAATTATGTATAATTAAATTATTTTGGAAAAATTTAATATCCTAATAACTAGTAGGATAGCCCTTACGTTTTAGGACCTTGGCAAGTCGATGGGGCATTGAATGAACTAGTTTGGATGTGTCATGATTTGTAATTTTCGCCCATTCATTTATGATCACATTTTTGAGCATTTCTCTGGAGGTTATGGTGTGTTGGCGGATTCTGCGCTCCAGTAAATCCCACAAATGCTTTATGGGGTTGAGGTCCATACGTTTCTGTCTATTTACTTCGGATATAAAGGGCTTCCTACGCGCTACACGTGCGTGATACCCATCTTTCATCGACTTAGTTTTTTTGAATGCTTCCACCACATACTGCACAAAAGAATGCGCCCTTCCTATCATTTTACCTATTTCTCGGAATGATTTGCCTTCTTTTCTGAGTTTAAGAATAATTCTTCTTTCGCCAGCACTAATTTCTTTAATTTTAGGGGTCATCGCGAATTTATGCACAATGAAAAATTATAATAACTTTAAGGTCAACCGTCAAGTTCGAGATCAATTATACAATACAATGTAAGCGCTTAAGGGAATGTATTTGTCACCATATTGCAAGGGAAATAACCCGTTTTGATATGTACGGATACTTTTTCCGTTGAATTTAAGTAACTGTGTTTAGTTTTTGTTCTCGGAATTTTTTTAAAGTGTTTGTCTAAAAGTAAAAAACGTATGGAAAGTGCAGTAAAAATATTAAATAAAACTTTTGTATACTATTTTTATACATAATAAGTTATTTGATCACAAATTTCTCAGTTTATTGTTTTCATGTCGAGGTGTACGGATAATTTTTCTGGCGAGTGTATGTACATATAAAAAAGTAAGAATTGTATTATTATCTAATTATTTAATTAATAAACATACATAGGTTTATAAATAATATATTTACAAATGTATATGATTGTTAATTTGCTTTGGTCATTAAAAGTTTTGATAACATCGGAAAAGGCTAAGCGACCGCACATACTTATGCTCGTACATCCATAAGTATATAATTATGTGTGCATGTAAACAAATAAGTATAAAAAACCATACGCATAATGTTTGTAAATTTGTCTACACACATCTTTGTATGCAAATACGTAATCATTGCTTAACTGGAAATCTTCGTTGACACACTTAGTACGGGCAGATAACGTATATAATAGAGAAGGTTAATGGTGTGCCGATTGTCAAAATTTTCCTCTTGACGGAGGGTTACTCGCCAACATTAGAGCATTTCAGCACAAACAAATTATAAGTTGATTTCACCAGAATTTTACCCCTGCGGAGCGCAAAATAGCAGAATTGAGCATTTTGAATGTTAATTGAGAAAAATAATGCTAAATTCAATGTTAGGAAATGTACGCTTACAGATTCGTATATTTACAATGCGCAAACGAATTTACATATAATTTTAAGATATTCTGCATATACAGGGATATACAAGTATAACGAATCGTGCTACAAAAATAAACCGTAATTAGTTTCATTTTTATCAATTTTTTTTTGTATTGTATAGAGAATTTTAATCTAATTTTAAACAGTTCATTATTCCTCCTAGAAAATTAATGCGGGCTGAAGGGTTGAAGTCGGGATTGCCTCAAATATCTATTTAATGGACTGCTTCAGTTCAGTCAAAATTCTGGGTTGGATTTTGTTCAAATTTTCTTATACATATATATACATAAGTATAATTATGTGTGCGTGTAAACAAGTATGAAAGTACCCATTATAATTGTTAATTTGTCTACATGCAACATATGTATAGAAATATGTACAGTCATTGTTTCATGGGAAATCAGAACCATACACACTTTTACAAACATACATCACATATGGCAAGTGCAAAATCAACCCTTATTCATATACAACGTGGCATGCGTAAAATGGAAATAAAGTCAACAAGTCATGTGCATATATACTCGCAGATGTGTGTACAAAAAATTCAAATATTTAAATACATACATTTTTTGACAAATACAGTCACTCCCGATTAAGTGCCAAAACCAAAGTTGCAGATTTTTTGTGCTTTATAGTACATAAGCGATTGTGGTACTTAAGTGAGTGGTACCAAAAAAAATAATTTCTATGTATTTAAAAAAAAAATTCCCGTTTTCTTTAAAAAATTAAGAAAAAAAAAACGTGAGATGCCGCAAGACACAGGCAGATAAGAGGGATTGGAGGAGTGATACTTAACAGCAAAAGTACGCCTACGATCATGAATGAAAATGTTGTTGTTGTGTAATTTACTTTAAATTTGGCTGACATATTGACTTGTGACGATTGTGGTAAACCTAGCACAGTAGGCAATGGGAAAAACGGGAGCTGATCATGCATTCGGTTGGCAACCTTCAGAGGGTAGAGTTCAAAGCAAAATTTTAATTAATAATATAATTCAATTAGTTGTATAAAATTCTCGATTTTTTTTTTAAATACGTATTATATATTTGGGTATAATAAAAGACACTACTGCTAAATATATCGCATTGACAAACCTTTTTTTAAATTAATTTGCAATTATGTTGTCAATAGATATATGTATTTATTTTCTACTTTCTTCTCTATTCTATTCCTTTCAGTAACCTTTTTCCACTAACATTAAATTTTTGTCTGCACATCAGCAGAGTATCAGCAAATATGCAAAAACGTTGCCGTACTGCTGCAATTATTACCTAGATCGAACGCACCCATAATATTTTTGACATGAGAGCCGCGCGTAAAGATAGCGATCAGAGAAGTGGCGCATCGAAGCCAGCTAATTAATGTATTGGAATTTCAGTAGCCATGACTTGCTGGGTACATTTTAAGATTATATACTTAATGGTTAACGATTAAACGATTGAATTACGTTATTGCTCACGAAGGGTTCACTAAATATGAAAATGGACATTAGGTTTGGCTTTTATTATAAGGGCGGAAATGTTGGGGCCAAAACTGATGAGTTGCGCATACGAAAAACCTTCGTGACCTCTCAAATTTATAATATTATATACTCACACCAAGACGGCAATTAAGTTGTTTTGAATTATTATAGTTCGCATAGGAGGTTGTCGCACTGTGGTGGTTATTAGCTGACTTCTCTATCCCAACACTGGTTTTGGTATTGAAATTTATTTCTAATATATTTACCTCCACCTCCTGGAAAATTTTTGTTACGAGTAATTTTTGACACTTTAACGGCTGGGATTTAGAATATCATCCTCCGAACTCGGGAATAAAATATAGCCAAGTATTGTTATAGAGATATTTGCACTTAAAGTTCAAAAATTTAATAATATAAACAATCGGCCCAATTCCCGTTGTCGTTTCCAAGTTGTTGTGGTTGTTATCGTCGCTTCGTTTCTACTTGTATATTCGTATTCTTGAATATCGTAACGCCAAAGAAAAGTTATCGAAATTTTAAATTAAAATGTAGAAAGTATGTTTACGCCCATAATAAATAAGACAATCCCTCCTCATCTCCTTCTCCTGTGGCTCTAGCTTGTTGTGTACCATTTTTTCTTTGTTTTGAATTTTGTGTCCTTCTATACACCTTAAATATATATAGATATAAATGTAAATACCTTTATGTCAACCGTCTCCGTCGCCACATGGAAGTGCATACCGTTTTCTAGAAATATCCTTCCAAAAAATATCGAAAATCAATGTTTTATTCCCTTTCTTAAATCTTTGGTATACGCAGGATTTTATCCTTTTTTTTTTGTACTCATACTCACTTCAAATAATCACTGGTTTTTATCTCGCTCTCAATTACTACAACGACAAAGATTGACTGTTTTTATGTGGTTATCATAGTCGTTTCAAAAAGGGGAGTTTCAATTTATTTTCGATAAATGTCAAAAAGGTTTGTTTTAAAACGAAAACGACAACGGGAATAGAGCCGAATATCACGGCTGGATCATATATCACTGGCGCCATGTGCACGTGAACGTGCCCAATTGATGCGACGGAGATAAATCTGGAGCTCACTCCGCTCCATATTGTTGCGGAACGTACACAAAGAGGATAATTCTAGATAGGACGTCTTCAGGACATGGAAGAAGGTACCGATGGCATTTCTTCTTAGATACGACATTACCAAGATAATCTATGTTGAGGAAAATGCTAAGAAAAGAGAGTATATATATAATATATTTTTTTAATTTGGTGGATGGGTTGAGTATAGATGATAACCATTGGTTGCACATGAACGAATAACAAATAAAGATGTTTCAAAAGTGTAGACATGAGCATTTAACGTACTCTGAAAAAATTCAACATTATGATTTTTAAGAGTAATTGCTGTATGGAGTATAAGCATTTCAAACCACACTTTGCGAAAATGTATTATTCTTAGCACCAGTTCTATATTAAACCAAGAAAGAACGTTAACTTCGGTTGCACCGAAGCTATAATACCCTTCACAAATACAAAGGCTCCTTACAAGAACTTGATTCTGATCGTTCAATTTGTATGGCAGCTATATGATATAGTGATATGATCTGAACTATTTCTGCGGAGAATACATTGTTGCCTTAAACAACAACTTGTGCTTAATTTCGTGAAGATACCTCGTCAAATGAAAAAGTATTCCATGTAAGCACTTTACTCCGATCGTTCAGTTAATATGACAGCTATATGCTATAGTCATCCGATCTAAACAATTTCTTCGGAGATTAGATTGTTGTCTTAGAATATAACTCATGCCAAATGTCGTGAAGATGGCTAGTCAAATAAAAAAGTTTCCCATACAAGTCGTTTATTCCGATTGTTCTCCGACTCTTAGTGAGAAAAGGACAGGTGCAAAATTGAGCTCGATAGCTTCAAAACTGAAGGACTAGTTTGTAAATATACAGCTCATCATGCTGATCATTTATGTATATATTATATATGGTCTCTAACGTTTCGTTCTGGGTGTTACAAACTTCGTATACCCTGCTCAGGGTATAGCAAACCATAGTTATAAGGTTATGAAATATCTTATATTTCAAAATCATTATAACTAATCATTTATTGAATCTATTTATTTGAAAATGAAGAAAATATACAAATTATATTAATGGCTGTTTATAGCTTGTATTATGTTGTCGGTAGATGCTAACTTAAGAGCATTTATAATTTTACTTAAGTTTTCTTCATTGTAACATTTGCGATGTAAGCTAGATACCACCGGTAGTTGCTCTCGATTTGGCATCGTAATAGTTACATTGAGGATCAGACCCTAAAAGGCAAAAAATTTTATCTATGTTAAATTACAATAATTAAATTACACACTTTTTCCACTTGTACATTGAGAATCATTTTATGTTCTTTATCCTGATCTTTTAAGAATAACTCCTTTTCAACTGAAAACTTCGGTGTTTTACCATATATCCACTCCCAAGAATTGAATTCTGTTCTTAAGTCGCCAATTCCTGGAAACCATTTTTCTGTGGGATTGATAAGTTGGAAACCACGTTGTTTCATAATTTGTTGATTTCCGCCATCTCTTAACTCTGTAGCAAAAGTTCTCAGGTACTCATAACCAACTGAAGATATTAACTGCGATGTATTGACATTGCGATTTATTTCACATAAATTTTTAATTGGTGAGCGAACTGAAGGCGTTGAATTGCTAATATAATTGACCTGCAAATTTTTAAATAATTAAAAAATTCATTTTTATATTTTTTCTAACCGATATATTGTAATATATTTCTATTGTATGGAAAAAATACTAATGCTAAATATATTAAACAAAACAAATAAGAAAGGGTTGGGTTTGGAACATTTTATACTCTCAAAATTTGCAAAGATAAAAGCCTGGTCATATTTTCAGGTGTTGGCAAAACTTCATCTTATACCAGGTAGGGATAAGTTCGGGTGTTCGAGCATCTTATGTTCACACAATGTATAACGGAAAAAGCCGGGGAAATCCGATCACATTTGGTATCTTATTAACTTATGTTATATTTCAGATCGTAGACTCTCTTAGTTTCGTTACTACATTTTGCATCATATTAATATTAAAATCAACCGAATTGCATATATTTTTGGCATTTCTCGAGTATATTCGAGAACATTTATGAATATATACAAGTATTTTTTGAAGACACCTAACACACTGACTCACATATTCGGCATAAGGGTAGTCAGAATTTACCAAATACAATTTTTTGTTTACACTTCATTAAGGTCTCACAAATATTCTCCGAATATTTAAAGTTGTTTGGCAAGAATTTTCGGAGATGTGAGCATATTTGTAAGAGTTATTACTTTCTTGCAACATGTTGCTACAGAGTATAATAATTTTGTTCATCTAACTATTGTTTGTATTACCTAAAATTAATCCAGATAGATATGTAGTTAGATATATATAAATGATCAGGATGTTGAGACGAGTTGAGTTCCGGGTGACTGTCTGTCCGTCCGTTTGTCTGTGCAAGCTCCGCCCACACCCCATATAACGGCTTTGTTACAAACTATTAAGTGTACAACTAAATGCGTCAGAGACATACAATTTTTCACCCGAAATGGTACAATCTCCATATCTGGGGATCTACTCGTGCGATATTTCAACCTAATTCCGTATGTCATAACATTACAGTGCGAAAATGGACGAAATCAAAACAAAAATCCTCATTTCCCATATAACAATATGTTAAATTCCATTTGATTATTTCACTTTCCAGTATACAAATCAAGAACCAATCAATATATCTGGATGAAACTTATGACTAAAAATTGCACAAGATTATCTATTAATAAAACAATTTTTTTAAATATTGCCCTCAAAATTAACTCGGCATCAGACATTTTTTCTAGTTTAAAAGATCTGGCTATGTTCGTATGTGAGATGCAATCGGTTTTACAACGGCAAACTTCGAGAACTTGTCAACGCAAGTAAGGAACGATTTTTTGTCCGTTGAAAATTTGTCAATGTGGAGCATTTCTCCAGCATATAATGGAATTGGTGTTACCCCAAGTATTTGTTTCTTGGGGTGCCTGTCGCGTTTCGCTTTGGTACATGTTTTGCAAATGATCCACCACCTCATTGCTTAATTTTGCCATTTTCGGAAAATAATAATCACGAAGGATTTGTTTAATATTTTCCTGAGCGGCACCATGCGCGCGATTGTGTTCAGTGATGATAATTTCAGTTTGTTCATCTTTGTTTGTAATGTCGACAACGATATTCTTGCAGTGCCACTTAGTTGCCGAAAAATTTAACACCAAATCATGTTGTATATTGAACAACGTCGGTAAATTACAGTAAATCGCGTTTACTGAGTTGGTACTAACGAGTGGTTTAAATATTTCGAATAGAGCGTTTTTATGTGTAAAATTTATTAGGTGGCGTATTTTTCTGCCGAAGAGTATGATGTCTATTTTGAACGGAAATTTGGCTTCTTCGAGAACGAACTGGTTTTTGAAGCAATTTAAATGCTTTTCTGTCGAATCGATCGTGAGGATACTGATATTTCACTCTAAATTGTCGCAGCATCTGACTGCACTTCATTTTTCAGATTGTTCACATTCTGTCGGGACAGAGCATGCGCCAAAAAATTTGCTTTGCCGGGTTTGTAGAACACTTTTGCATTGTGTTTATCAATGTATGATTTCCATCTCTTGATTTTCGCATTTGTGTTCTTATCAGATACAGCGAAAGTGAGGGGTTGGAAGGGGTTGGAGTAACAACTCCTTTTCGTTTGTGGCTTAGTGCGCTTCGCTTTGTTTTAGCGTTCGCGAAATCATGGTAATGGGTTTGCCTCCTTGAGACAGAACAGCAACGATGCCATCCATGGAGGCGTCAGTGGTTAAGTCAAAAGACTGTTTAAAATCTGGGTACATGATTTTAAAGGGTACAAAGGGTAGGATTTTTTCTCCTTTGAGAATGTTGATCAATGGCCTCGCTATTGACGCGAAGTCCTTAATGAATCCCCTGTAATAACTAGCTAGGCCAAGGAATGATCGTAAACTGAATAAGTTTTTTGACTCAACATATTCCCGTATGGCTCTAACTCGGGGTCAGTTTTTGCCCCGTTTTTGGTTACTACAAAGCCCAAGAATTCGATAATCTCTTTAAAAAAAACTTCGTTTTCTCTCGTGATACCCTCATATTGGCATCGCATTAGCATTTGAAAATTATGTTGATATGCTTCACGTGGTCGAACTCATTTTCGTAAAAAATTATGACGTCATCCACGTAAACGTAGCATATCTTTCGTATGTGTTCCCTCATATTGTCGTCAATGGTTCTTTGAAAAATCTCCCTGCATTTTTCAATCCAAAAGGTAGACGGCAAAGCTCGTATTTTCCACCGTTTACCGAGAACGACGTTTTTTCGCGGTTCTGTTCTGCTAGTTAAATTTGGTAGTACCTCGACTTTAAATCAAATACTCCGTTTTAATACGGATATAGTTTGGCATAGATTGGTTCATTATCTATAGTGCGGATCGTGGCAGTGACCGAAGTGTTAAAGGGTAATTGCCTCGTTAGAAGTCGAAAACGTCGTTGAGCTTCTCAATATCATGCTTTTGAACTCCTTTTTGACGGACATGGGCACTACAATATCATTAACATCTGTGAAGTTTACATTGTCATAGTAATGGAAGCTCAATTGCTCTGATTTGTTTTGGTATTTGATATTGCTATTTAGTAAGTCCAAAGCCTGCTTGTGTTAACATGTCGAAGCTTCTAATGGCATCAAAGGTACTTAGTGTATCAAGTACAAAAGATGATGAAATTTGGCCAAAAATTTTCATAAGGCATTTGTTTGTTATTCTGTTCGAACCATGTACCGAGCTCACAGTGAAGGGTTTTTCGACATGAATTATTTTTTTTAGCTCCTTTACGGCCTTAATGTAATTCTTTGCCGCCCCTGTATCGATTAATATTTTTAAAATTTTCCCACCCAACTGTCGTTAAATGTGTCCTCTTCAATTTCAATTGCAGCAGCCTCTGCTGCGTTTTCCTATCTTAGTTTCTCAGCATTAGGGTCGCACTGAACAGCATTGTTCAGCTTTTCAGCGCTGCCTAAACTTGGAAGAAAAGTCAATTTCCATTGGCTCTGGGGCCTGTCCCTGTTCAGTTCTTCTATTCGTTTCATGGTAACCATTGCTGTTTCCTGACGAAATGAGGGTTTTTTCGCTGCCCCGTTATTATGCTTTCCCTGCTTTGCATAGGCGCGGTTTCTATGGTCCTCTTTCCCGTGCTCTCTTTCTGCTTTAGCTTTAGCGTATGAGGCCGAAAACATGCTACGCTCGATGCTATCATCTGCTTCTCTAGCTAATGCTATAGCAGATGCTAGATCCTTCGGCTGAGCCTGAAAAACAATAGATTTGAGTGATTTTTTAAGACCTAAAATAAAGGCGTGGAGCGCGTCAGTCCTAACCTCATTATTCAGAAGCGTTGCCTGCACCGCTTCGTGTGTCATTACGATATGTTCGTAACCAGAGTTAGTTTTCTCTTAACTTCGTCATAATATTCTATTAAGGTCAAGTCACCTTGTCTAACCATCTCGAGGCCTTGCCTCAGAAGTCGTAGGGAGGTTCTGTCAGCGTAAGAGCAATCTAGTCTGGCTATGATTGCATCAAAGTTCAGGACAGTATTGTGTGATACTAATACCGCTCTGGCTGCTCCTCTAACTTTATTTCTAATGATTGTTACCGATTGGTAATGCGTGCAGCTACCGTCAAAAGGTTTGAATAATTCGTACGCATCAACGGCTGATTTCCTTCATGCTACGTATTCTTCTGACCCGCCATTAAATTCTGGGACTGATTTTATTATGTCCAGAGGAATATTGCAATTGATCTGTGGGTCCACAGAAATTCTTTTATAGTCCTCAACTTGTGGTTATTTACCCGCTCATTCATAGCGTGAACCTGTGTTTGAAATCTTTGTTCTTGCTGCGTTAATGCTTCGCTAACAGCGGTCACTATTAATGCTGGCACTTGGTTTACGTCCATGGCGAAATTCGTTTGGTTTGGGATTCGGCTATCGTAGTTTTCCATATCCCACCCAATATCACTGTCGCACTCGATTTTTATATTGCGTAACGCACCTAACCAACTCATGTGCTCAGGTGTTAAATCAAAAAGCGGCTTAGCAGCGGCTTGAATTTATTTAGAATAGATTTGTTTTTATGGAATAATTATCTTAGCTGACTCAAAGCTTATATATATGTATATATATATATTTTTTTAGAGATAATCGGAGATAATCGCAAACGAACTTACATGGTGTGGAAATTAGAGTAACTCTAACTCTAACTAGGGTGTGAATCCTTGTATGTTGGGCGCCAGTTATCAAGTGTGGTAGCAAAATGTCCCACGTTAGATGCCAACCGTTTGCAGGCTACGCCTTCAGATCCAGTCACAGTTACATATAGTTATTACAAGAACAGCTTTTAGCTTGTATAGTTGGTGCAGTACACTTCTGCGTTTATTGAGTCTGAACTGATTTGCATTACAAAATTAACTTAAAGCTAAACCTAAAAGTTGAACCCATAAGCTACAAAGCTACAGCCAGCAAGCCGACCCAGCATAAGCGATAACGTAGACATTTGCAGCATAATCAAATATCAGGTTACCGCAGCTGACCTAGTAATCAGGCCACATAACTCATGCGTCGGCTGAGCAAATGGG